AAATTAATTTGCGACGATTGTTATATTTTATCCCGAATGAAATATTCTATCTCTCTCTATTTCATCCGATTCGCTCTCGAAGAGAGAATTGGACGGGAAGCCTCCATCGCGGGTGAAATAGGACGAGAACACCGCACGATCGACTACCGTTCAAATATTTAAAGTTTTTGTTCCCTGCTGAAATGTGTCTTTGCGCGATCCTTTCAAGCATCCCCTCGACAAGGGGGGAAGGTAAAAAGTTCCGGGATCCCTCTGATTTTTCTTTGATTCGACACAGGCCCGGAATAAATCTAGGCCAGAGTTCGTGAATGCTTTATGACGCGGAAACACCACTCGAGAATCTGTCCTGTGTGTGTATTTTCGCGTGGCTGTACGTGTGTCTCTCTCTCTCTCTCTCTCTCTCTCTCCAGAGAGTAAATAAGTGGCTCGTCTACCTAGTTTCTCCATCGAGAGAGAGAGAGAGAGAGAATACGAACCACTTCCTCGACCACCTTTTTTTCTTTTTTCTTCCTTGGCGAATCCTTAACGAATCCTAGATAACGAGCAAATTAAGTGGCGGGCAATTAAGTAACGCGTCAAGTTCGTCGTGAGCTTTTCCTTTTTTTTCTTTTTTTTTTTCTTTTTCTTTTTCTCATCTCGTACATATTCTTCATACGCATGGATAAGAAAGTTTTTCCGTGTCACGTTGAAAGATCCCTTCAATTTTTGATTGAAGGGAAATATTTTTGTATCTTTGAGGAAATATCCATTGTGGGATCCAAATAATATTCAATCGTGTTTTAACAGTGAGTCGAGTTGTTTCGACGAGAAGGAATATTAAATCCCGCGGTAACGATTTTCGATCGACGTCAAAACGCATCGTTAATTAGAAGCTCTCTCGAAATCGTGCCACGCGTCCGACAACGTTTAGATAATTAGACGCATGGCACGTTTACACTGCGGTTGCTGCGCCACAGGTTCCTTCGCCTAATTCAATCGATGTTGATTTTGCTGTTGCAGTTGGACAGGTTCAAAGAGCCCCCGGCGTACGGGCCAATGTGCGATCTACTCTGGTCGGATCCGTTGGAGGACTTTGGAAACGAGAAGAACGCCGAGCATTTCTCCCACAACAGCGTCAGGGGTTGTTCGTACTTTTACAGGTAAGCGTTTTAAAATGATTGAAATTCGTGGAAATATTAACGTATTATTGTCGAAAACGATCTCATATCGAAAATCATATCGGATATAAGATATCTGCATTACGGGGATTTTATTATTCTTATAACGGTTTATGATTTTTCCCAACGAGAAGATGAAAAAGACTTTTCCCAGTTGCACGCGGGTATTATCGTCCGATTAATCATTTTGGATTTTGTCGCATTTTTCGCGGTGTTTTACGAGTGTATTTTTTATTTTTGCTTATCGAAAGTCGATATTCGAGAACAACCTGTCGATATATCTATTGTGTTAAGATGGTTATTTGAAATTAACAGTTACCTGTTTTTTTTTCTTTTTTTTTTTCAATTAAATTGAATCACGATTCCTTTGAACACGTTCGATGAAAGTTTTCAAAAGTATCGCGGATTCTTTCTGTATCGGAATATCTAGTGGAAAATCTAGTGAGAGAATCGATGATACAACTCCTACTACAAAGTCATATTTGGATCATCTTTTTTTGTATCTTTTTTTAAACGTGTCCCGCAGGTGAATGAACAAAAACTCCTTTGACTGTTACTCGTCAAATATTTAACATTTTTTTTTTTTTTTTTACAGAAAGAAAGTCGACAACTTTTATACGCGTCTCTGTGATTCGCATCGATATTTATACTTATCGAAAAGAATCAAGGAATAAAATGATAATTCACGATATACTTGCCAGCGTGGAAATAGTTGCGTTGAAATATATATTTTTCTTTCGTTTCTCGTGATAATTGAAAATATCATACGATTGATACGTTTTCTCCTAATTAGATTAACGATAACGAGGTTTCGAACAATCGCGTGTATTAACCGTTAATTAACGCAATCTGGCTACACAATTTGGAACGAAAATTATTTATTTGACCAATAGACTTAATTTTCCGATATTCGGTCGAAAAATTATTTCTCTCTCTCTCTCTCTCTCTCTCTCCACACGAGATTACACGATTCACGTGATCGCGAATTTTCCACAGCCGCGTTACTTTTCAAACCGAAGCCACGATAATTAAGCCGAACGACTGGTTAGGCGTTGTTTACGAAGTACGATTTAAACGAGGCCGTGTTCCGTCACCACCGGCAATTAGCCGAGCTAATGAAGGAGAATTGTGTTTCGTTTTAAATTTAAATTCGTCCGCGGCGAGCACCACCCCGAGCTGTTCCACTCGCGAGATCCATCCGGCTGATCACGCGTCGACTCGTGCTACTGGGAGGGCGCGCAGCGTAATCTCGATGCGAGTGTGTGAATTATCGCGAATTTCGATCATCAGACGAGTCGGTGTTTGAGTTTATTTTGAAAATGTCGAACGATGAAAAACAGGGGCAAGATTGTTGTTACCCTCCTTTCGACAATTTAATCGTGCATTCCTCCTACGCCATTTATTCAATTATAACGAATTCGATGAAAATTTCTTGTTGAATCGCGAACAACGCAATTATCTTCGCGCAAGAATCGCGAAAAGAACAGAATGGTTTGAAAGAGGAGGTTTTCCAATTTTTGAATAATCCTTTTATCAAATTTGTTGATATCAATAATATTTTAGATAGATAAAACAATTATTGTTGGGAAATTTTTATCGGGAAAAGAGAACGTCGATGTCGTCCACGGCCACCGGTCTGTTCGTGTAAACAAATTAAGCACTAGACGTCAGTCGACCGACCTTTCTCGCGCGCTTATAACTGGCCTGGCCAAGGACCGCGAGAAACACTCCAAGACGAAGGGAGGAAGGCCGCAAATTAATTCCTTAAGCGCCGTTCACAATGAATCAATCGTTGGTGTTTCAACGAAAGAGAAACGAAAGAACGCTATTCTATTAATTATTGAACTCGATCAATGCAATCTAATATATTTTTTCCAATTTTCGTTTCGCGGATTGCTCTTTCTCTTTATTTTCTTTCTTCTTGTTTTAAGTAAGATTAAAATTTTCAATTATCAGAGTTTTAACGCGTAGCTCGTTATTTCCTATTATTATTACTACGTAGATCATTAATTATACGCGATATACGAGGCGCGATTTATGAGAGCAATGAATCATTGTTCTCCATTAAAAACCCGTCATTTCGTACAAATTGCTCGGACGACCCCGTGGGATAGTTATCGCGCTGAAATTCACCATGGTATTCGTTTCCGCGAAGATAAAATTCTCTTTCCAGCTTCCTGTTTGAAGAAATAACTCGTCCTTCAAAATTTCAAAACTCCAATACAATATTAATTCCCCCCTCTTATAATCTTATAAAAGAAATCTAATTTTAAAATCCTCGTTCACAATCAATGCTGCTCCTCCGTTTATTAATTAACATCGCCAAAACTTAGACATCTTTCTTTCGATCGATTCGTGTCGCACGAACACGAATAAAACGGAGGAAGGGAGAGGTGGCTCGCTTCGAGGATTAACCCCGACCAACCTTATTAACTAATTGACTCGTCCACAAAATCCATCTCTCTCTCTCTCTCTCTCTCTCTGATCGTTTCCACGATCGATCGGTCCGCGAGATGGCCACCGTCAGATGCCGATGATTTATCGGCCGCGTTACATTTTATAAACGCTCGGCCCTGTTATCGTGGCGGGGATCGGCGGGGATAAAATTACCGCGCGAAACGGGGGACGGGAGGGAGGAGGAGGGGTGGGGGGGGATTATCGCGAGTTCTCGCGTGCGGCCTCGCGTGTTGCAAAATTGTCGAGAGCGTTTTAAGCCCGGCTTGCACCGTGCTTCCGGCCAACCTTCGAACGAGTTTCACACACCCTGCATGCGCACGGCGTTGGGAAGCGTGAGCCCCCAGGTTGATTACGATAAATGTTGGGTTAGGGAAAGTTATAGGAACGTTAATTGATTCCGTTTAAGGTGAGGAAGAAATGAGGGAGAGCTTGAATTATTGGCCATTTTGGAATTATCGAGAGCACGAGTGTGAAAGGTATTTTTCTTTTTTTTAGGGGGGGGGAGGAGGGGAGAGGTGGAGGAGGAGAGGGTTTCCTTGAACTGTAACGCGATTTGTAAACGTTCTAAATATGATGAAATTGTGTGATGAATTAATAATACGAAAGGAAGAATTTCGATCGTAATTACAGATTTGAGAATGATCGATTTGACGAAATTTACTCTCGTTTTAACTAACGTTTCAACCGTGTCAAACGAGTCTTTTCATGCGTTTCGCTTCAACTGGTCCAGTTTTACGTATTCCATAATCGAAGGAATACATTCGAGGTTTTAGGACAATGATAGTTGGCAGTGAAAGCTGGAATTCCGAAGCGTTTTAAAATTAAATGCGTTTTCCATGTAGAACCGGTAGATAAATCATCATCGCCGATAAAACGGAGCAATATTTTGGACAGATAGTTTTTTCGAAAGCTGTTCGACGAAATATCCCGAAATGTTTCGAGTTGCCTCTGTAATTCTCGATCTCGTCGTGTCTCGATCGATGCGAATTATATTCGTAAATTCGCCAACTTTCGAATTCTCCTCCCCTCTCCTTTCGAAACGCGTGCCTACAATTTTACAATTATGATTTCAATTGGAATGGAAATTAGGATACAGGAAATTCACGTAAAAATTTCGAGTTTTATTTCGAAATTTAATCTCGAAAATTGGATACGTAAAATGGATGGTCAAGTTTAATTTTTAATACCTATTTAAAAGAAGGAAAAACTGTTGGACAAAAATTTTTGCTTCTTAAAAATAAAAAGTCAATTCAAAGATGGTTGAGAAAAAGTAAATAAAAGTTGGTTGGAAGATTTTTATTGCGTGTAGATAAATGGTTAACATAATCCAGCCGTAGAAACTCGGTCGTAAACCGACTAATCAACGACGCAAGGGTAATCGAAAGGGTTGTCGCGCGTATCATATGAGCCGTACCGTCGAACGGAGGTCGGCTGCATTTACGAGGAGGAACAAGTGGTGGTGGACGATTCTCACGCGATCATTTTACGACTCTCTGTCTCTCAAGATTCTACGACGGCCAAGGAAAACCATCTCGAAACGATTTCTTTATAGCGTCGTCGACCATTACGGAATTGCAATCGAAACTTTCATCGCGTTCGTGAAATAATCCCACAAATATTATTCCTACTTCTTACTTCTTGGGAACAATGTTTCTATCGTCGGAATATTTGTATTCTGTCGTAAATATTGGATGGAAGTTGTAAGAAGTTGTGGTATTAAGCGAGGATGCGACTCTGAAATTGGAAATTTTTGACGCTTAAAAGAACATTGTGCAGATTGTGTATTGCGTGTGATATTATAGATGGAATAATTATCGAATAATTATCGTTTATTTGCTTTTCACGATTCTTTCGATCGTGGACACAATCGTATCGTTTAATAAAATTTCGTAAAGTTGAAACTTGAAACTGTAGGAATGGAAAGTTAGATCGAGTGATACGAGTACATCATTAGTCAGGCCCGTACGTTAAAAGTAGTAGTTAAGGATATATTTCGGGCAAAAACATGTTGGAAATAATCGTTGAACGTGTAATAAAACTAATATTTCCCTCGAATTATATAAAATCGGAGGTTTCAAGAGTGCTTTTTTTTCAAATTAACTAGTATCTTCGCGGGTGTGCGATAGGTTTTGAATCCCTCGAGACGAATAGAATTATTTTTTCTGTTTCTCAGTTACGCGGCGTGCTGCGATTTCCTGCAGAACAACAACTTGCTGAGCATCATTAGGGCGCACGAGGCACAGGATGCGGGCTACCGCATGTACCGGAAATCTCAGACGACGGGCTTCCCATCGTTGATCACCATCTTCAGCGCGCCCAACTACCTCGACGTTTATAACAACAAGGTTTGAACAACGTTTTATTAACATAACGTTTTCATCGCTGAGAAAATGAATGTGAAGCGTGTTTGCGACATAATTTTGAAAATCGTCTCTCACTTTTTTCTAGGCGGCAGTGCTGAAGTATGAGAACAACGTGATGAACATCAGGCAATTCAACTGTTCACCTCATCCTTATTGGTTGCCCAACTTCATGGACGTGTTCACGTGGTCCCTGCCGTTTGTAGGTGAAAAAGGTAAGCGCCTTTGCGCCTCTTTCGAAGAAATTAATAATAAGATTGTTCGATCATTTCTTTCTATCTTTCGCACAGTGACAGAGATGCTGGTGAACGTGCTCAACATATGCTCGGACGACGAGCTGATGAGCGACGGAGACGACGGGCTCGAAGAAGGTAATGTCCATTATCACTTCTCCCCCCCTTTCTTCTTTAATACGATACACGATTTCTTGCAGAGATTCTTCTTTCTCTCTATCTATCTATTTCTCTTTATATATATATATATATATATATATATACATATCAGTATTTTTCTTCTTATTTTATTCAATCGGTATTCATTGGTTCCTCTTACATCGTGATCAGAGTGTTCCCTTTTTGTGCGCCACGTTTTTTATGCTTGAACGATTGAAGGGAATGTACATATGTGATCCCAATTTTCCAATACCGTTTTTTTACCCCTTCGATTGAAAAAAAAGAGAAATTGAAATACGTATCTTTACATATAAAATAAATTTCTTCCAAGTTATTTTTTTTTTTTTTTTTTTTTTTTGTTGACGATCGATATCAATAGCGTTTTCCTTCCGTCAGATTAAAAGGAACGAATCGAAGGAAGGAATAATATCGATTAGAAAATGTTTAACTTGGAATTTTTTCTTTTCTTTTTTCTTTTTTTTTTTGGTATTGCAAAAGTTCTCTAGACACGATTTAAGAGAGGCCATGTCGAAGGATCGGGAACGCGAGGATTCGTCTCTTCTCATCGCGCGTTTAAAGTGTCAGAGTATATTGGATAAGAGTGATAAGCACGTGGATCCCTCCCCCCCTTTTGAATATCTCTGAATCTTCGCGTTCGACCGAACGAAAGATCGATCGCGTGACTGCAAAGAATTTAAAAAAACAAACGAATCTCCTTCTTTTTTTCGATATCTCTTTTTATTATCATTACACACCCTTTTTTTTCGATCCAGCTTCGATCCGCACTTCGCTTTTACGAGGAACGTTTTGCTCGAGTGCTCTCGCTCTTCATTTTCCTTTGCTTCGTTTCAAATTTATCTTTCTTATTAAATTTGTAATGAATTGCAAACAGAGTTGGGGAAAACGAGAGCTTTAAAACGGATAAATGGGGGGGCAGATGAGTGATTTTCATTTTTTGAAAAAATAAAAAAAAGGATACAATGATCATCCATGTTTTATTCTAATTAATATAGGGGAATAAGTATTTTATTTGTTTCAGATACAAGCAATAATAGCAATGATATTCGTGATACTAATCCAATTAGATTTAATTAGAGATTAAATGAAAGGTGAATCTTAAAAGAATATTTATATTGAGTAGAATATTTTTAATATTCTCCTTTTCCAATTTATCTCTAAATTTTCCCCAACTCTGATTATAAGTATTATATTATCTCTTATCGAAAAAGAGAGAAAAAGAACAGAATCGTCGTTGTTCGAAATATTCCTCGTTCGAATCGATGTGAGGAACGAAACTCGTTGTTCTTTTTAAAATTTAAAAGACACTTGTTATCGAATTATTTTCCTTCCCGGCCGGAATTGAGTTGTCTTAAGAAAAGAATTGCACAAGAAAATTTCAAAGAATTTCAATCGAATCTAATAATAAAAATATCCCTCGAATTTTCGCGATTTATCAAGACAACTCGATGTAATAATTTTTCATAATCCACTTCGAAAGCTTTCACTTCTCTTCCGATAAAAGCTGTCGTGTATATTTCCGCGAATTACTTTGAGATCTTTCAAAACGTGAACGTTTTTTTGATCAGCTTTGCCGCCACGCCTCGATCCACCAACCGCAAAAAACGAAAAAAAAAAAAAACAGACGAAAAAAAAACTGCACTATTCCACGCGAGACTATTTCCGAATCATATATATATATATATATATATATTTCTTCTCAATTTTACTCGAATCACACCCTTTCGTTCTACCCGTTAACCACCCGCTATTACAGCCGTACACTGTACTTTTTTCTCTCAAAATTTCACCTTTCTCGTGGTTCAGAAGAGCAAAAAAATATATATATATAAAAAATAAAATAAAATAAAATAAAATAAAATAAAAGTCATTCAAATAGAAACGAGAAAAAGTAGTATTTTCAAAGGAACGACGATTGATAAAAAAACGATATAAAGGGAAAATCGCGCGCGTGCATCACCACGACGAGATCTAATCGTCAGGGCGCGAGAATTTCGATAGCTTTTTGTACACCATCCACCCCCACCCCCTCTCTTTACACCCTCTCTTCTCCCCACTCCCCCCTGTCGAATGTTTATTAAGATGATAATGTCGTGCAACGAAGAAATTAATTTTTTTTTTTTTTTTTCTTTTTTTATACCAATAATTCGACGAGATCGAGTATCGAAAGAAAAGAAAAGAAATTCGTTTTCCATATTCCCGCGGTCTCGACTTTCAGAGGAAAATTTTGAATTCTCTTTCTGTTTCCATTTTCACCCGCTGCACGGACAGATGGTAAGAAGCGCCACTCGACTCTTCTAATCGTCACATTATTAAGAGCTTCATTATTATTGATCATTGATCTCTTATTTTTATTTTATTTTCTAGCTATATATATTTACTCTTTTCTTTTTCCATTAGATAGTGTCGGTGTGTTGGAGTTATTTTTTTTTTTTTCCTTCCCCCCCTCTCTCTATCTGTTTTTCTGTTTTCCACCATTTCGGCGTTCTTTTTCTTTTCTCTATCTATCGCCATCTTCTTTTTTCGTCTTTTTTTTATTCCTTTTCTCTATCTATCTCTCTCTCTCTCTCTTGGATCTATCTGTACGCATACATACATCACGTTCGTGTGTGTATGTATGTATATATATATATTCTTTTCGCGGGTTCTTTCGATTCGTTTTTTTCACTTTTTTTCTCGAGGGAATAAATAATTCAATATAAAGATGAAGAAGAAAAAAAAGAAAGAAAGAAAAATTTAGAAAGAAAAGGAAAGAAACAAAGAAAAGATTCGTTAATGGGATTTTTTCTTTTTTAGAAAAGTATACATGGAATTATATATATATATTTGTCGAAGAGAGACGTATTCTTTACATTTCTACGATTTCTCCTTGAGTTCTCTTCTTTTTCCTTTTTCTTTTTCGCAATTTTTTTTCTTTTCCTTCGATCGAATCACACGATCTGTGTACGTGTAACGATTCTCCATTTTCTCTCTTACATTTCTCTTACATCTCTCTCTCTCTCTCTTCTCTCTCTCTCTGCCATTCTGTCTTCTTTATCTATTTCTATTCATGTTTCGTGGTTCGTACATCTCCTCGCACATTAAACTACGATAGATTTTTTTCTATATTTTTTTCTAGATCTCTTTTTGTCTTTATATATATATTTATATCTATTCTTTGTTTCCGATGCTCCATGGATTAAATATATATATATATATACACAAAATGTATTCATATGTTATTTAAATTAATTCAAAATGGCACTTGAATTCTTGTCTGTCACCGGTAGAATTATCATTCTTCTGCATCGTTACGATACCATAGACGTCATATTTTTAGAAACTATATATATATTTCTATCACCTTGGTTCGTTGCATCCATTCAAGATGGTGCTTCTCTCTTCCCGGAAGAGAAGATCCTTTCTTATATCACGATCTTCTAAATCTATATAGATCTGTATCTATTCAAATAAACTCCACTTGGAAAAATATATTCTGCAAAAAAAAAAGGGAATATTCTTCGTCCAGCCCCGATCAAACTTTTATTCCCCCTTGTGAATATAATTTCTGCTTCTATTCTATCATTTAGTAGAAACATTTTACTCCAATTATAATTTTGCACGTTCAAATCTTATCGGAATTCCTATTATTATTCGATCGTAGAAGAATCGTGGTAAAAATTCTGTTCCTCGAATCCCGAAGAATTGAAATAAACGTAGTTCTCTGGAATTAATTGACAAATGTCTCAAAGTCAAAGGAACAATCGCGCCATCTTGAATGTTGTATATCACGGGCGCCAATTTTTGCATTCGAAATCGGCACCCGATCTGATCGTTCGCAAATCTCGATGTGTTTCTCATTTCAAACTCCATCTCTTCTCCACTTCTTTCATTCTTCTTTTATTTCTTTTCTTTCATTTCTATATCCGTAAAAGCACGACGCTCGTCTTGCGCGTACCATTCTCAAGTCCGGGGTCGATTATTACTTCGATTATTACTTCCTCTTCTCGCGTCACGCCTATTGTCCCACTTTCTCAACCTCCCATTATGCACTCTCTCTCTCTCTCTCTTCTTTTTTTCTTTTTCTTCTTTTCTCATTTTCATTCCTCTGTTTCGTACGCGTTACGATCCAATATCTCTTCATCCGGTTTCACGTGTATCGATTGTAAAACAGCACCCCTCGGATTCTGGAGGATAACTGTTTCCCGATCAATCTACTAATTCAGATTGCTCGCAATCCGCCATTGTGTTGTGCCATTGTATTTTTGCCCGGAATCTCGAACATCAAAGATATCACGTTTGATGATAATTCGTCAAAGATTGGACACGATGTGATGTGAGCTTTCCAGAGTTAGGAGATAAATGGGATGCTTGAGCAGTATGGATGAACTTGTCTGTAGTAAATTTGGCAGGTTTTATATGTATATATATATATTGAAATATGACATCGAAATATGATGATATATCGAGGATTGGCAGATATTTAATCTGTTGAGTTATTCGACCGCAAGCTTGGGTTTGTTGAATTAATTAATCTTGGATAATAGTATTTGAAATGAGAAATAATGATATTGAAATAAATCTTCAAATATTATTTCGTTTCAATAGAAATATTTTAATCGTTGAAGATTCATTCATTCGAGTTTTCTTTTTTTTTTTTTTTTGCAAGATGTTTCATGAAAATTCTCTGGAAGAGCAATCTTCAATACAAATTTCGTATTTTTGAAACGTTCATTTCTTTCAAGATCGGGAAGCATCGATCCACGAACGAGTCCGTGCTAAAAACCTTAACCATAGCGATCCTCGTCCAATTAGGGTTTCAATTATTAGGTGCGTAAATCGTGGGGGGAAAAAAAAACGAGATATCCAGATAAAGAGATTCGTTCGTTCGATCTTTATAATTATGATTTTGCGAGATCTCTTTGTTAGATGTAGCTTTGGTCCCTCTCCCACCCCCCCCCCCTCTATTATCACCTGTTTAG